GCTGCAGCGCAGAGCGTCTGGCTGCAGCGCAGAGCGTCTGGCTGCAGCGCAGAGCGTCCTTCTGCAGCGCAGACCTCCAGAGTTTGAACATTGCAGCTAATTTATAGCAGAGCTAAAGCTGAGCTCCTCTCCTCTGATGACATCAACACATTTCAAACATTTAAAGCAGGAAGTGGACAGCGCAGACGCTAACAAAGCTGGATTGGGGGTGAAGCTGCGTTAATGTTTATACAGAGGAGCGGTGAAAACGGTTCAGCCAGGAATGACCTCATGCTTCACACACAGGCGGCCGGACAGCTGCGTCTGCAGCCTGTGACTCATTTCTCATGAAAATCCTCCTCAGAAGATGGAAAACATGGAAAACATGGAAAAATTCCCTCTGAGCTGCTTTCAAACATTTAAGCCTTAAAGAAACGGCAGGAAAAACGAAACGCTGGAACACGTTTCTGTGTTGCTTTCTAATGTTAGCCTCTCAGCGGTTTCCTTGGCTTCGTCCCCAAAACGTCCCACACTGCTTCGCCGCAGCCGCCATTTTGTGTCAGATGGGAAGCTGGCTAATTGAATTACAAGGCATGGCTTTGTGAGCGTCGGGGTGAATCATTTGCACCACAGCTCTGTGCAGAAGCTCAATGTTTAAAAGGTTATTTTTGTTACAAAGTTAAACACAAATTCACCATAAAGATTTTAAAGTCTGTCAAAAAGAAACATTTCAACTTTAAACTCTCAGTTTTTTACAGTTTCTGTTTCCTGACACCTGTTTTCCTATAAACACCTAATCAGGCTACTGTTAGCTTTGCTAAACCATCACTAATGATTTATTTTAGCGCTGCTCTGATCCTCACTGCCTCTGTGCGCCATGTTTCTATCATGTCAACATTTTGCTGCACTTTATGAATCAAATCTTTAACTGCTAAGCTGCTCATTCTCTGTATAAATGAAATTATATAGAGAATTTATGCAAAATAAAAATAAAATAAAAGTTATGCTAACCTTTTAGCTATTGCTAATGACCATATAGCTATAGAAATAAACTGAATTATTTAAAGTGGGACAGAATATCCAACAAATTTACTTTTTTTTTATAGAGTAGCTGTTTAAAATCACAATAAAATGTGAAAAACTAAAAGTAATTTGGAGGAAACGGCGTAAAGGCTCCAGGTCGTCCGTCCGTCCGTCATGGTTATTGGATTAATTTACTTTTTTTTTTTTTGTGCTAATTTACAATTCACCAATTTATTTATTTTCTGTTTGTATTTATGTATAGTATGCATGTATTTATGTAGAGTATGCATGTATTTATGTAGAGTATGCATGTATTTATGTAGAGTATGCATGTGTTTATGTAGAGTATGCATGTATATATTGAGGCTCAGGACTCCTGTGTTTCTCGTTCCTTCTCCTCTTCCAGCTGAACGGTTTCGTCCTCCTCCAGCCGTCCTCCATCCTTTATATTCTCCCAGTTTTCATCCCAGTTGATCCCAACGCTCGACCTTCGCTACAGAAAATAAAAAACGCCGCCGCTCTTCCCGGGCCTCGGTTCTGCAGATTTTTTCCCTTTGAATGAAACCAGCCTCTCTCTGTCTTCCTGTCCTTGTGAGGACCTTTGGATTCACCAGGACACACTCGGGTCCTGCTGCAGATGTGAACGCTCCCGGATGCATTCCTGAGCTGAAATATTTGGCTGCAGCGAACAGACGGCTTTGAGCGGCGCTCCGATTCGCTCCAAGGCTGTGATGGAAATCACATGTTGTCAAACACACATTCAGTGAGGCGGCTCTCCATGCTGGACTGGATCTGACAGAAACTGCTTTAAGCTGTTAATGTGTTGCTGGAAAGTTCTGTCGTCAAAATGACTCATTCAGTCCAGTTTTCAGGTATTTGTTCATTTATAGCGTCTCGGTGTGAAGGAAAGTAGCCCTGAGCATCACTAATCTGTCGCTGTGTGACAGGAGAAGAAGCTGCTGCTCAGTCTGAGCTGTTTGATGTTAAACTGCAGAATGAGGCGTTTAAAGATTTAAAATGTTAGGAAGATATTGAGAAATAAAACCCGGGACCCAGGATGCTGACGGGTTCTTTTACTCGGTCTGGCCGCCATGTTTTCTGTACGGCCTACGACTGAAGGGAGGGTGAGTCCTTCACCGCTGCAGACGCTGCTGAGGAGGATGAGAAGCGCCCAGACTGCAAGAAAACCAGGAGTGGATGAGATCAGCTGTGCTGGATGGGTGACCGGGGGGGGCTGACTGGTTTAAAGGAAAAGTCCAGTCAGCAGGAATAATCAATGGATCAATAATTAAACCTGAAACTAATACGTTCGCAGTGATTTCATGAATTTAGTTTTAATCAGTAAAAAAAATATAAGTCAGAACTATTTTAGCTGGAAAAAGAGCTCTGGTGACCCTGAATGGGACAATATTAACTCCGCCGCTGTTCTGTCAGACCAGCATACCCAGTCAGACCAGCATACCCAGTCAGACCAGCATACCCAGTTAGACCAGCATACCCAGTCAGACCAGCATACCCAGTCAGACCAGCATACCCAGTCAGACCAGCATACCCAGTCAGACCAGCATACCCAGTCAGACCAGCATACCTGCAGTTAATACGCATTAGCGAGACGTCAGATTCACGTTTATCGCTTTAGTTTTGTGAGAAAAATAGACTTTAAACTACCTCAGTGGGTTATTATCCCTTTGGTCACGTACAAAAAAATAATTCAATGTCAGTTCACCATACGCTTCAAAAAACAACAAAAAATAAGAAATTTATTTGTTTTCTTGTACATGAATAAAGGCATGGAGGTTCTTTAAAGTTCTTTTTTTTTTTTTTTACAAATCGAAAGGGATAAACAGGTATTAACTCTGGGTATGCTGGTCTGATGGGTATGCTGGTCTGATGGGGTATGCTGGTCTAACTGGGTATGCTGGTCTGACTGGGTATGCTGGTCTGATGGGGTATGCTGGTCTAACTGGGTATGCTGGTCTGACTGGGTATGCTGGTCT